TCACAAAAAAAACGTAAAATTAAAAAAAAAATTGTGCTTCAGTGTTTGTGCAGGGTTACCTAAGGTTCGGATCTGCACGCCTTACTTAAGGGCTCAAAGGGGGCTTAAAAGTATAAAATCTTAAAAGTGATGGCAAAACTTTTTTCAAGATATTTGACACTTGCAACTTTTTTTCATGTTTTTTCACTCCCCAATGAACATGTTTTTACCCTAAAGTACCCAAAAAATTGAATTCATCTCTGCCAGGGCCAAATATAAGTAAAGAACTTGAATTTTTAACGCGTAAGGGATTGTCGTAAGATACAGGTTGATCAGGCGAATATTTTTTTATCTACTTAAGCTCATTTTGTTGGTAGAAACCTTGGCTATAATCGCAACCTCAGGCTAAGTGCCAGATGCACCAGGCATCATTATATAACTAAGTATCTGACTTTTATTTATCAATTTATTTTAATTTTTTTGATTTAATATATGTAAATGGGTGCAAAATCAATTATATGGGTCCAATTACTTAGCTTGAGGTTGCGTTTGTGCCCTGATGTGTCCTGAACAAGTGAGAAAAATCTGGGACCTGTAGGATAAACGGTTCACTGGTGATCTTACGACAAACAGCTTAAAATATTGAAAATTCTAACTTGTCAGAATAAGCAAAAGAAGTAATTATTCTATGATAATTCTTTAATCTTGCTTATAAGTGATAAAAGTTTACCTAGGGTGCTTACACTTTCAAAAACACTATTTCACACATATTCTGAGGTAAAAAAGGATGATAAACCATCTAATATGTCACCAATTCAATTCATTCTTGCTACATAAGCACTTAATGGAATAAACTAATTAAACACATAAAAAATATACAACTGATTATTTTGAATTTAAAATAGTTTTGTTATTAAAACAATAGAATAATACAAAGTTGAATTATTATTATTTGATATTTACATGAAATGAACTGGAATAAAAAACATAAAATATAAAGCTCACATAAGTATAGTTTTTTGATCACTTTCTTATGTATACATCATGTCATGTATACTCGTATAGCAGAATATAAAATCTGTCAACTGCATTTTCTGTCTCTCTCGCTCCACCTGTTGGTCGGCGCACTCTACCTATAAATAAATCAACACGTGTTTAACATTATTAGCATCTGAGAAGACGCACGCGTTTATTTGCATAAATTTTTACTGTGAAAGTATATACATACATTTATTTTACGTGCACGTAGGAGGCATTTCAACAGGAACGATATCAGATAAGTATTACATGTTCATAACATTAACAAATCTCATCAAACTCTGTTTACTTAGTGGCTTTCTTTTCAGGTTATCTACGCATGGAAGGCAGTTGTAAATATACACAACAAGGCATAAATGATGAAGTCTCCTGCAATGATTGAAGAGTTGACTTGTAAGTATACATATTTTCATAGCTTGGCATAACAAATTTCTTGTGTAATTATAAATAATAAATTACTTCTTGCAGTGTATCAAAACAGTGATATCAATGTCCACCGGGTATATAACTGTCATCAGATGGGCTGTGCCTTCTTTGACGCTTTGCTGTTCTTGCTTCTTTTGTCGAGTGATTGTTCTGATACTCAGAATGATAAATTCTCTTGGCATCAGCTTGGCTGGCATATTTTATGGCTGCTGCACCTGGTTCAACATCTAACTTTTTCATCAACGCTAGAAGAGATTGTTTACCATCATTGAAAGAGCCAACAGCCATATAAGCACCAATCTCCAAAATTTTTCCACCACTCCACAGCTTCTTTGGAACGTATTTCCACAATATATGATTAAACGACTCATTGGAGTTTTGTGAATTGGTTCCAATACATCTCTGAAGCAATTGTTCATCAGTTAGAGCTGTGTAAATGTCTTTGATTTCATCCATAACAACAGGTGGTAGATTATTTTGGCGATTGTGTTGAAATGTGTTCAAAGAGCCTCCAAATTTTGCTCTCTGCCAAGCACACCATGATAAAGGACCAACAGGGCAAAGTTCATGTTGTGGATCCGCATCAGTGGATCGCTTGTGCTTCAATGTGGCCCATAAGGCATTATGCATAGCTGTCACTGTTTTTTGTTCTCGAATGGCCTTAGTGTACAGTGAGGAAAGTTGGTCAATGACTTTTCCAGTTAGACGTCCTTTTCCACCAATGGGTTTATTGTCTGTAAGTAATTTTTTTCCTAACTGTTTCTTTCTGTTTCTCAATTGGGTGCCCATTCTTTTTCCAACATGGTTTATGTCCTCCTTCTTTTCCACTATGAAATTTTTACCAAATGGTTTCATCAGAGATATTTTTTTGTACACCTTACAGTCTCCGTCTCCAATATAATTCTTATAACGCACTTTTAATTTATCTTCTGCTCTCTGAAACATCTCCACTATACCATTTACTTCCATTAAACCAGAACTTCCTACATGGTTGACTGTGCATTCGTTTATATGTTCTTCAAACCATTCTTGATATTCAAATGACTCTTTGTCTTTTTTTTCCGAGGTCTGACAGGATTTGCAATAAGTATTCTTAGTAATAACATCCAGTACTTTGCCAGACCCATGACCAATGAGCATTGCTGCACCTTGCAACGAAGGGAATCCTGGTGTGCGCCATGTACCATCTCCTGATACTGTCAGATCATTGCTTTTTGTTAGCTGCACTTCTTCTTCGACTGCTCGACTCATTGATTCTTCAGCAACACTTTCAGCAGCACTCCTCATGGTTGAAACTACTGAGTCATACGTTGATTGCTCCATAGCTCTATAAAGATCTAAGAGCCCACAAAGAGTTTGTATGCCAGTTAAACCATGGCCCAGTGTTCTCATTGCTAGTATAATTCTTCTATTGACTTCTTACACATTTTTCTTAGGCCCAACTTTTTTACAAGATGAAACTTTTGAAGATTTGAGGCCCTTCTCACAGTTGACGCAAAGAGCAAATCCAAGACCACCGCCTTGACTCTCTTCAAAGGAAACTTTGCCACCACATTTACATGCTATATTTTCTGTCAGGAATGGTAAAAATAGAGATATATCTATCAGTCGATACTAAGATAATCCTGGCTCATGTGTCTCTGATGAAGTTTACAGTTTAGAAGCTGATGCAGATTGCAATTGAGATTTGGCTTCAGCAGCAGATCTTTTTTAAGCATTCTCGAAGCGAGGGGTCTCCAGTGCTTTTGTATGCTGATTACCTTTAAAGCATAATTTTCTGTTTCTGCCGGTGGAATTTTTGATATCTGGATTACTCCGAAGTCTCGTCCGTGTAGGTTCCATTGTGCGATAAACTAACACTAATACGTTTAAAAAATCTAAAGAACTGAACTAAAAAAAATCACTGATTCACTATTAACACTGGCTAAATCTATATCTAATTTGATTTTTAATTTGCACCAAAAATAAAAGTATAACTACAAGTAATTATTATCTAATTGAACCACTAAAAATTAAACTAATCGAAGATTATAAATTTATGATTTATGTTTAAAAACTAATCTAATAATATTTTGTAAAGCTAAATCTATATCTAATAACTATTAGTAACTATTATAACTATAAGTAATTATTATCTAATTTAACCACTAAATATTGAACTGATCAAAGAATTTAAAAATATAATTTACTTTAAAAAACTAATCTAATAATATTTTGTAAAGCTAAATCTATATCTAATTCTAATATACACTAAAAAGAAGTAATAATTATCGCAATCGTAGAGGCTATTAAAACTATTTTAACGATATTTTTCAGAACATCGTTTGAATTTTGGAGCCCTTGCCCTATCGTTGGGCTGGAGGTTCGATTTCACCCGTATAGTTTGAAAAAAGCGTTAGGCTAGATAAATTCGAATTGTTGTGGCTAATCGCTTCAAGGGGCAATTTTTACTCAAAGGCGTCTTCTTTTTAACTTGTTGATAATCGTTCTCTATAAGTAAAAAAAAAAATTAAAAGACATAGATCGATAGACTTTTTCCTCCTCTTTCTAATGGTGCTATTTAAAAAATTCGCAAAAATTTGTTTCATGGTGAAATATTGATATGAACGTTTCTGTTATGTTTTGAACTTGAAAAATATTTTTAAGATTTTTTAAAATAGCACCATTAGAAAAAGGAGGAAAAAATCTATCGATCTATGTCTTTAAATTTTTTTTTTTGGCGCATATTGATCGATTCCCAGCAAGCTTAAGGTCGACCGCTTTGATCGGGAAATGCTGTAATATTACGCTTGCATTTTTTACAATGCACGGCTCCATATGCAGCGAAAAAATTCGAATTTTGAAATTCTGACTAAATATTTGGAAAGCTGAGAAAATTTCCTTTTAGAATATGAAATAAAAAAATTTTCGAATTTTTTTCGAGTTTAAGCCTCATTTGAGCCCTTAACTGATAGCAGAAATAGCATAGATCAGAAAAAAAATTTTTTTTTCGACTTGTTAATTGTTAACGACAATAAGTGAATAAATGAATAATCCTGATACTGATTCATATGGTTAGAAAGGACGTTAAGAAACCTTTCAAATGGTATTATTAAAATAAAATCCTGATACGACCTTTATTGACTAAGCTATAACACTTTGAAGTTTACTCATTTTTTACTTAGGTATGGCAAAAGTGCTTGAACGGCAGTGTATATGCAGGTGTTTCATTTTTGACTCGCAAAAGATTAAGAATTTTTTTTCATTCTTGTACAAAATTTCCAAAAGATCATAGATATAATAAGAATTATAATCATTTTTAAAATCAAAGAAATCACTTATGAAATTCAACATTTGTAGCTATGAATAAAGTCTCAAATTCAGCATTTTAAAAAAAGATTTGAGCAGTTGGAAATATTTCTTAATAAATAAAAAAATTCCATTTTCTTTTATTTTTACAAAAATTATAGCCTTTCGTGAGCCATGGAAAAACGAAGACTTTTAAAATAAATAAAATAAAATTTAGCAAAACGTAATGCATATCAAAAAGATATAATCTGTTATAAAAGTATACCTACCTATAAATATCATTTTGTAAGATTTGCATTTTAATACCCCAATTGATATTTGGTAATCGCGTTTTATTTCGTAAAGTTATACTAGTATTGAGACCTTTGAGCATACCATTGCCTTGTCCCCAATAACTATGATGCTCATAAGAATAGTTCATCGATTCACTGAATTTTAAAGTTTCTCTATTTTCATTTTGAAGAGTAATTTGACCGACTTGGAATGACCACTTTTTAATAACTTTCATTTTGATAAAGTTCAATCTAACATTTTGAAGATTATATGATAGGGGTTCCATTTCTACTAAAATCTCACCATTTTTTGCTGATCTTTCTTGTCCGTTCTGTATAAAAAAACATTTTCTAATTTAAAAAATTTGTGATCATTTTGAATTTCAATAAGTATTTTATGAAAAAAAGCGATCTCACAGACCATCTATTTTTATAAACTAACTTATTAAGGTGGGAAAGGTACCTTAAAGCGACATTTATAAAAAATTAATTAACAATTGAGAAAAAAATTTCTTTGAAACAATACAGAGAAAACTGTGTTTTTTTCATTCTATTTCCAATGTTTTTCACTCTGGAATATGATAATTGAGGTCCCAGTCACCATAGAAACCTCCTTGACGAAGCAGACCCACAGCCCTGAGAGTACACCTGTGCCGTAGGATCAAGCTAGAAACGATGATTCAATCATGGTCTTAGGAGTGTCATTTTGTTCAGTAGATGTTTGGTTACAAACGCAAGCACTTTCAGATTTTTTAATTAGTTATACACAATTTGCCAGCCACATATACACATTTATTCATTAATATATATGATAAAATGACAGATTATGCTGGCAGCAGTGGCTGTTAACGCAGCACATCGCCTCAGGTCACTTGGACTGTGGAAACACGGTACGAGGCATACCAGGTTGGAGCTGCTTAACGATCCAATCCTCTGTATGAGGGGTGACCGGATGACGGCCCACATAGTTAAAGAGCCAGTATGGTAAACCATATTCCCATCAAGAAAGGACAGTTTACCAAGCACCTGGAGCTATCTGAAGCAGGGTACTACAGGCGAGCTGACGGTCGGGGCAGTTTTATGCCCCTCGGTCGGCTGGCCACGATATTCCAAATAGAGATTATGGACATTCTGGTGTGCTCATACAGAATGGCCGAACTTGCAACAGAGAACAAACGCATAAGCATTTGCTCTGCCAGTCAGGCAGCCATCAGGGAGCTGGACTCCCAGACAGTAACCTCGAAGCTGATCTGGGAGTGCAAGGAAGCCCTGAGGGCACTGGCAGCTAAAGACAAGGTCCAGATTATCAAGAAATGTCCCAGAAGGGCCTGAACCAATTATAGGGCTGGCAAGAAGCCAAATCAGGCGCACCATCATAGAGTGGACCGAAGGAAAACACAGAGAATGGTGGAGCACAGCCATGGGCTGCCGTCAAGCAAAGTTAATGTTGGGCCCTGAGCCTAACAGCGACTGGTTGCGGCAGGCTCATAACCGGGGAAGGGAATACACAAGACTCATGACATATATTATTACGGGTCATGGGCACCTAAGGTATGAAACCATGTGGCCTTGAAGGTCACAAGATCGGTCTCGTATCGAACAGCACATGCAGATGGTGCAGGGTGGACGAGGAGATGCCCCTACACCTGCTCACAGCGTGCGACGCGGCTGCCGAAAGGAGACGAAAATGGTTCGGAGACGCATTCCTGAGCCTAGAGGACATTAGAGGCACCAAGGCCAGTCGACTAATCGGCTTCTGGAAAGAGGGCTTATGGACTGACACGATGGACGTGTGTCTACGTGTATAAAAACTATGAGCCTACGTGTCGAAGGGGCAAATGCCCCTCCTCCATCTACTTATTATTATTATTATTATTATTATTATTATTATTATTATTATTATTATTATTATTATTATTATTATTATTATTATTATTACATTTTTGCTGTAATAATCATACAAGTATCGGTACTAAATAGGCTGTACCTCTCGATAAAATCAAAATTTAAAAATTCTGATTACGACACTGGGAAGTTGAGAAAAAAATCCTATTGAAAAAGTCAATAAGCAAAAAAAAATTTTTTTTGAGATCTTAGGTACTTTTCCCCCCTTAACATCTTACGATTATAAATCATTATTGCTTCTCTCATCAATTAGCTTCATAATAAGTTCCGAAAATTAATTTTTCGAGTAAGTTTTTGTGTGTTATAATTTTTTATTCAATGTGTCTATACTATTGTCTCTATGTAAGTGGACTAGGAAAAGAAATGAATAACATAGTACACATTTTTTTGATTTCCCTCTTGACTGTTCATTTATCAATGATAATTCTTATCGTACGCACTACGCGGACGGTGCTGTCTTAGTTGGTATTAGTGCATACGTGCTTATTTTTCTTGAGAAAAAAGGACAGTACTACGAGTCCATTTCAAATTTCCTTGTATAGATTGAATCCCTTTCCAAATGAAAATTGATGGATTTCCATTAGCGGCCGTTTTAAAAGTACAGTACGGTTCAGAATAACAAACATCTTCTTTTACTGACGAATAAACATAACATATTATGATCAGCTTATACGTGAAAAAGGATGAATCCAATAATGGCCTTGAATTTGACTTTGAACATAACCTAAAAACTGCAGTGGACCTGAAGTCTATTTTTAATTTTTAAGCCTATTTAATAAATTCTCTAGGTCATTTTAAAGTCGCTACAGATACAAATTTAACCCAAATTTTAGCGTACACTTATTGAAATAAAGAGAGATGAGATGTAATATTTCTATATGAACTCTTTATTGTAGGTTAATTAATGAGGTGATGATTAGAGCAGATCTTTCAATCAACTGATCTTTCTTTCGGTTTTTCTTTTCTACATCAGCCCTTAGCACTGAATGTGGTTGCGAATGTCAGACGTTAGCTACACATTTTTCGATTTTTTTCTTCATTAGATCCTTATTAATTTCTGTAGTTCCTTTCAAATGACCTTGAAAAAAAACTCAATAGACAAATTTGAACGTAAAAGTTTTGTTCAATCCTCACCGAACGCGCATACACATGTATAACTGCCAAACATGAGACAATCGCAAACGGGCGAGCGCGCGCGCGAAGTAACTTCAATTCTCAGAAATACTATATGCCGGCCGGCTCGCGTTTAGTGTAGCATACGTACGAAGCCCAGTTCGCTCATGGTTTAGATCAATAGAATGATTCGCGCACACTCCCCTCTACTTCGCAGTTGTACAGTGTATGCGTGATTCCCAGCACCAACGGGCGCTGTCGTTCGGCGGCTCTGAGCTGCACTTACAATTCGCACAGCGCACGGCGTGTAACACATTCATTCGCAACGAATACAGCGTGCAGATACGCAACCATCCACATTTTTATTCAGTTCAAATAAACAGAGGTTTTTTACATACTTTTTCTCTTAATTCTGGGTGTTTTGTTTTTTCATTTATCCATATTTTTAAATTACGAGATTTCACATGTAAATGCGAAATTCTCGACGAAACAAATTTTTTTTTTGGTCAAATCTGCAATACAAATTTGGAGTTACTACATTGTGTTAGAAAAATTTATATTTTCCCACTCTAACCTAAAATACGCAACTTTGCCGCTAATTTTAGGCTCTCGTAGGAAAAAATAGTATCTCAAACTGGTGCAGATATGGTTTTTTAACAAAACTCGTTACAGCACTCGCCTTCGGCTCGTGCTATAATCCCTCGTTTTGCTAAAAAACCATATGTGCACCCATTGAGAAATATACTATTTGTTATGTTTAAAGTCAAATCCACGGTCACTATTGAGTTCTGAGTCAAAAATACGTTGAATATATGATTTTTGAATAATTTTGAATAAAGGCAGTTCCAGTGTGTCAATTGAACACATGACTCTAGCAGCGACAGTAAAAGTGAGACTATGCCAAGGAAGTACCTCTTCTAAAAGAGCTCACAATTGCGACAGTGGACACTAGTCCAAGTGAAATGAGTAACAGTGACTTGCGGACTGCGCTGCGCAATTGTGACTCAACCTGGTCTCTTATAAGTGAACAGTTAAAGATGCAGGCAAAATTGTAATTACATGAGAAGAAATTACTCGTTGCTGAATCATAATTGTTCGTCCAAATAATGTAATTGCACGTCGTTGCCAGCTGACGACTTATTACTTATGAATATCTCGCATTATCTCACTAACCCGTAAATCAGCATGAGGTCCCTTTCCTTCTGACAGGTTTTCTTCTGCTAATCATGTTATAGCTCGCGCACTCGACTCGTTGTCTCTCGCAAGTTCGGTGCGTATCGAAATAAGGCGCCGATCCCCATCAGGCTTGTTTTTTTATGGCCTCTCTCTCTCTCTCTCTCTCTCTTTCTTTGCGCTTTTTGGAGCTGGCCATACTATCACTGACGTCCAGGAAATACGGTTAACCCACCATCTGCTCGACGTACTGAGAAAAAGCCTGATCAACCTCTAGCTACTCGTACTATGATTGTTTTTATTATTATACCTTTAGCAAAGGAAGACAGGGAGTTTATTTATTAATTACACTCACTTATTTATTAAACAAAACCTTTATTTAAATTGAATGAACACTCGAGCTTGTCTATCAAGCTTATCGAACTTTGGAACAAAATATGTTGTATTAAACTTTGGAATCAAAAGAACAAAAATGGCAGCGCGTGCGTTGCGTCGGTCGTGCGAAAACGAACTGATAGAGAGACGAGAGAGATCGCCGGCGGCTCGATCACGCTCCCTCTCTCCCTGCGCGCCGATCTCAACAATTGTGCAGTACAAGCAGACCGACACTTGAGACTACGTTTTAAAAATTAAAAGGAAATTTGGAGAATTGCTCGCCTCTGCCGTTTTGCCAGGTGCGACCGACAGTCTAAAAATGTTCGAAATGCACTCGAAATATGTGCTTGATTTACTTCAAGCAATAAAGGTAAAGAATGTGGCGAAAGAACGTGGCTACGCTTATGTTTGGGCTCGTGGTGGAATTGTCTTTGCAAAGAAATGTGATGGCAGCGACGTCATCGAACTACTGATCGAGCCGGATATAGAGAGACTTTGAGCATTTTTTGCATTTTGTACTGTGATTGCCAGTGAACAACTCTCGTTTTGTTTGTATTTGTGAAATTGATGTGAAAAAGCTTTGCCAATGTGTGTATGTGTGTGGTTTGCACCCAAATTGAATATTGCTGTGTTGTGTTCAAGTGAATTAATTAATTTTGCTCTACTCTGCCTTAACTTTTGAAAACTTTGTAAGTATCTGTATATAGTCATGCTTTTGCGATTATTATTGTGCTGATGCTTGTAATTCTGT